TGTCAAACAGCTCTATTGAGATAATTCACACATCATACAAACCACCCACTTAAAGTGCAATGGTTTTTACTACATGCAGAATTGTTCAACCATTGCCACAATCAAACTCTAGGACACTTCATCACCCCAAATGTAAGCCCCAGACCCTTAACCATAAGCCTCCAGCCCCAGCCCCTGCCCCAGCCCCAGCCCCAGCCCCAGGCAACTGTGGTGAATTAGGGAATTCATCCAGGACCTCAAGGGGGGAGCCCCTTTTCAGCTCTGACTGCTGATATCTTGTGCCAATTTGGAGTCAGACGCGCTACCGTTGCGCCACGAGGTCTCTTGTGCCAATTTGAGTTCATAGTTAGCCACATCTTTTGATGTAAAGAGAAGCCAGAAATCAATATTTTAAGTACAATCTCCTGATTTTTCAGTGTTGGTTTAGTTATTTGTTTTAAACACACAATAAGCATGTGTATGCACCAGATATGACTCACTCCCACCAAGCTGGCAATGTCTGCTCCACACTGATGATTCCTCAGCCCTTGTCTCAGCCCCTGACTTGCCTCAGCACCTGTCCTCTGTTTTGAACCACAAGAAGTGTAAGCCTGACGTAATGAATTTTAACACCATAAATTCCTTATCTTCCAATAAAGCACACATCTTCTCATAGAGACGCACTCCTCTTTTGTTGTCCCTGTCTTTGGCCTTCCATTTAATCTGGTTTGAAACCTGAGTTCCATTTTTAGGTTTCTTCTCTCGTGCTCCTCACGTCCAATAAATTGTAAAGCCCTATTGGTTTGACTGTATACCCTCATCTGCATCCTTCCCGACCCTCCATTCTCTCCTAACCCCAACCTTAGATCAGACGCACATGAGCCTCCACCTAGGACAAGTGCCATAGCTTTCTCCACGCTATTGTCAGTCCTTCCCTACTAAAAGCCCATCCTCTGTTCTCTGGCCCGATTGGCCTCCCTAAGCACACAGCTAAGTACGCCACCCTGCATTCACGAGCCGCATGCTCAAAGATTTTGTACGCCCCCATGTGCCTTCAAAGAGTTCTAATTCCCAATATTGGCATTCAAGGCTCTTCAGCCTATGCCCACACTGCCTTTCCACACCTCTCCCCTCCATGTAGATTTTGCTCCAATTTCTCACTTCTTCTCCATGGCCCCTCTACACCTGGAATGCCTCTATGTCCACACATTATCCTCCATACCACTTCCCTGATCCGCATCTCTAAACCCCTGTAATACTTTCACTCTCTCATGTTACTGCCATTTTCTATCCTGTGGTATGCTACTTGTGTGCTTTACTTCTCTCCCTGAGTGTACATTTCAAGAGGACCGCATCCATGTCTGATTCATGCTAGTACACCTGAATCACTTAACACAAGGTCTGAGATACAGGATGCTTAATAAATATTGGTTAGATAAATAGTTAATAAGTTATTCTTCCTAAACGTTGAACCATGTGATGTTTTGGTTTTAGCAGATCTATATTCTTAATTCTATCTTGCTTAAGCTAAAATTAATGGTTTACCTTTTTCAAGCAAACTCTAGAAGCTTGTTGCTCAGATGCCTGCTAAGTGATAGGAGAGGCGGAGTTTTCGAGTTTGCCAGGGAAAGGCTACATGTGAATCACTAGAAGATGCTAATGAGGGAAGCACTCAACAATGTTCTTGGTAATAAAACTGTAAGTGTCCCAGGTCTAGAAGATGTTTTCAGAAATCAGAACCACATTGGGCCAGTAGTCACTATTGAAAGAATTCCATGTTCCTCAACAGCATTTAAAAGTACCATATGCTTTGCTGTTTTTTAGACAGGCCAGTTCAGGTCCTAAGGGCCATGAGTGCAAATGCCCACGGAAAAGTTTCCAGAGGAAACCCTGAGCAAGCTAGCTGGAGGAGTTACATTTTCAGGAGTGCTACAGACATTGAGCCACCTGCAAGTGCAATAACAGCAAGGCCTTGAAAGTTAATAATAAAAGACAATATTTTTAAGGTACCATATGCTAAGCACTAGGTAAGCCCTTTATATAGGGAGCCCTTCATGTCTTGTTTGAGTTTCATATCTTAGTTCCATCTTTTTACATCCTCACAACCACTCTATGAGATAGGTAATAAGGTTCCTATTGACAGAGTAAATCTATGAGAGATTAAGTAACTCTCCCAACATCACACGGTTGGTTAATGACAGAGCCGGCGTTGGAAACCAGGCTGACAGAATTGTAACCTCTTCTCCAATTAGCTTTCTCCAGGCTCCTGATTCAAAGAGCCTGCTCCTCTGCCAGCCAGGAGGGCCCCTGGGAAGGGCCTGAAGGGCCTGAAGACACTCATGGGGGGTGTTGGGAGCATTTTATCAGTCTTCTCAACTCTGCGTGCTCCTTGGACTCCACACTCAGCCCCTCTTTCCTGATGCACAGTGATAACCAGGGCAAGGGGTTCCAGATGATAAGCAGGCCTGGCTGGGCAAGGTGTTTCCTCTGGCCCACAGCCGGATTCATGCCCACCAGCTGGCCTACAGCTGACCCTCTCTGGTTGAAGACTTAACAATCTGACTGGGATTAGAAGGTTATTTAACAGAGTCTCAAATATGAGAAAACAATTGAAGGGTGGTTTTAGGTGGTGGAATCACTTGAGAGGATTGGGAGAAAGGGAAGTGAGGAAGCTGTCAGTTACTATCAATTGGTAACTTTTTTTTTCAAATGGAAAACTCAGTGGTCCCATGTCTGCTAACTTTCAAGCATTCCCATGTGAGGGCTGGTTTAAATGATCATTATTGCTGTTCATGGGGAATTTAAGGTAGAAGGAATCTGCTTACTGGCTTTTCAGAAAAGGTGATTTCCTGCCCAATGACCTAATTGGTCAGGAAATAGATAAGCGAGTCTTCTCTATGCTCATTTTAAGCGGAAGTTCCGAAAATTGGGGCACTCTCTCCCTCTCTCCTTTTTGCTGCTGATATTTAGACCTGCCAAGGCAACATGACTTCATTGTACTGGAATTAGGTTGACTTCAACACAAATTAAAAAATCAAATAAACGAACTGGTTTTTAAAAGTATTTTCATTATTGGGGATTTTTCACTGTCACGGGTGGAGCCTGCAGAAGTATCTGAATGCACTATGTAGAGAAATGTAATTGATTTACTGTGAAGTCAGGTCTCTGTAAAAAAGACTGTGGGAACATTCATTCCCTACTCTCTCAGAGACTCTTTTAGGTAAGTCAAAGCATGTTCGCCTTCTGTGTTTGCTTACCCATCTGTGAAATGCGAATAATAATTCTAGCCCCCAGGCAGCCAAAGGTTCCTGGTGACCTTAGATGAAGATACTTGCTATACATGAATGACAGAAACAATGATGATCAAACACTATAGATGGAATCTGGGAAGAAAATAAGTTTAATCATCATCTTCTACATTGTTTATTCTGCTAATAAGGAGGCAAGCTTGTAAAGCTCAGTAATGAACTGGTTAAAACAACAGGACTTGGATTCTGGAATCTCTTTCATAACTACACGCTATCTTTTGGATCCAATTCCCCACTCCTTAGGAGTGGGTGTAGGTTATGAAGACGCATTTCTCACAAGGCAAGGAGCTTTCTCTGCGCTGTACACACAGGGTGTGGAGTCTTGTGCAATCAGACTGGAGGAGGATAATCAGGCTGCTATGTAGCCTTGATTTCCAACAAGGGAATGGGCCTCTGGTACCAACCCGTGTCAGCATGGGGAGCCTTCAGTGAAAAAAAGCTTCTATGAAAACATTCCAATTTATGACTTCTGTGGCTTAGCATTTCTAGGAGGTCAAACTGAATCTCCAATACATAACATAAAAGTGTCTGCTGCGCAGCAAAAGGTCAACTTTAAAAGAATAGGCTTTTCCATGTTGAAATAAATTAAAGTGTAAACAAAGCAGTTACTCCCAGAATAGGAACACGGAGGAAGGAAAGTTCATGGCCTAA